TAGATGCTGTTCCACATGAACTCCATCTTTGCATCTGCTTTGAGTTTGGGTCGCTTTAATATGCATTTGGCAACAAAAGTGCCAAACATTCTTGTGATGAGAAGTGCTTATGAACAAAGAAGAAGCTTTAAGGACTCCCTGCCATTTCCGTCAAAACAAAAGTTCAGTGGTTTAACGTTTGAAAATGAAGTAATTAAGACAGACATAAATATTGGTATTTCGCTTTTACAGTTGCAGTGTAAAATTAAATTATTATTATTAATTGTTTTAATACTTGATTTTTGTATTTTACAGGGAAATATTACAATAATAAGTATTTCAGTAATTATTTTAGATTAATTTAGTATTTTTATACTTTTATTTAATAATAAGACAATTAGTGTTTAAATAATAATAATAATAATAATAATAATGATTATTATTATTAATAATTTTATTAATATTTATTATTAATTGTAGTGGAAGTAGTAGTGGTAGTATTTTATAATCACAAAGTTTTGGTCAAATTGTGCATCCCTACAAACAACCACAGCAAACCTGGCATTTTTAAATCACATTTTAAATGGCAATCACAATTTTTATCTGAAAGACAGCAATTTGATTTCCCCCAAATCATGCACCCCTAAATTCCAGCATGTTTGTGTACTCGTACTATAATTCACCCTGTTTTGTAGATATTTACTTGAGCCATTAAGTTATACACAACATTTTTATATAGTTGTGAGACACCCTTTTAAGTACCACCAATCAGCTAACGTGTAATATATTTCACTGGCTTTAGGTGGCGCTGTGTTATCACTCTCACACAGATGCACACACACACACACACACACACACATGCCCGCATGGCTCAGAGTTAATCTGTCCGCTTGAGAAAGAGACCGTGCACACACACAAACACACACACACACTGGATGTATGAATATTTGTGAACACACACATGCTCGATCGCCCACACAAGCTCAGGGAAAGGCGCCCACACACGCATGCATTTACTGCACACATGCTGAGACAGCCAACTTCTACATGCTGATGCATCATATCCAGAGAGGTTTATTTGACTGGGATATTGTTCCCGCTTTGTTCCTGGAGTTTGCCGGGGCAAAGGGGAAGATGATTATGCTGAAATCCAGACTTGGGCGCTCGGAGAAGGAGTTCCCGGGCCGTACGATTGCTAAGTAATAACCGCCATGCAGCCAGTAATCAGCTAAGTACCATAATCCTCCTTGCAGGGTAAAGTCGTGTTTGACCTCCCAGCTATATACAGACTGTGATAACAGCATTAAACGGTAACACCGCTCTCCATTCCCAGAAGCCTTTGCACCTCATGCATTCAGGCCTTTCGGCACCCCTCGGCACCTCTCGGCCCGCTTCGGCTTTCTAGAATTGGCTCTTTGCTCCGGTGTGGCCTGCATCTGCGAGAGCATGCTGGGAGGGGTGGAGGACGCACTAAGCTAGCAGCTGCTGTGCTACGGGACTAGTGCATGCGTTTCCTGTAGCCGTGACCTTGTTTCCCCCCTGGCCGGACCTCTTCTGTCCCTTCAGCAGCATGCGGTGCATTTGCGTTTGATGCAGCCGCGCGGTCGACATGCTCGCGCCCGCAGCCCAGATGTGCAGCTCTTGAGTGACAGGTGCGTGCACACGCGACGCGCTCGGCCGTGGAGGATTGTTTTTTTTGCCGGTGCAGCATTCGTGTGACAGTCGAGTGCCTCTCGCTGAATGCTGCTTAGTTGACGGTTTTGTGACGGGCGTGCAGATGTTCCTATAGGAGTAATTATAACACCTGAGTAATGCTTGCACAGAACTGGCTGTACAGTTGGGAAAGATTATCATGCATGAGGTTTAGGGCTGTTTACATCTCGTGATGCCATGCTGTGGGTATAGAATTAATACTTAGTCTGTTTGTTTTCTTCTTTTTGTCCCATTAAGATGCTGTTTTGAGCATCATTATAGGTTTGAGTCCCTTTTAATGCAATATATACTTATTATTGTAATATACACTGCTTTTCAAAATTTGGGGTCAGTAAGATTGAAGAAATGAATACTTTTATTTAGCAAGGATGGGATGTGTGATGTGATGATACCTAATGTGTGATGTGATGCTTTTAGTTGACTGACACTCAGTCCTATTTTTGTAACATTGCACAGTTGCTCCAGTGAGTTTATATTCCCCATTTTAAACAAATATCATCTGTGAATTTATTACTATGAATTGTAATTGTTATATATGTTTAAATAGCTTCATGGCTTTTACTTAATGAACGTAACTGTTGGCAGCAATATGTTGAATCAAATCACTTTGGATGCTAATAAAATAAAGCGAACAGCCGCTGAATGTTGTAATGATTTTGTCTTTGAGTTTTGTTTCTCCTGCTATACTGTATCTGTGTGTCGGGCTGCTCTGATTTGAGAAGCTCATAGGGCTTTGCACAGAGACGGCAGGCACAAATCAAGGAATAATATCGCTTCATTGTTTAACATATTGCAGCATGCATATGATGACACAATGGATGATGTCACATTTACATTTAGACATTCAGCAATCATTTACTGCTGGAATATGGTGCAGCTCAATATGGTTACTGCTGCTGACTCTGCAAAATCATTTAATGATGTATTGCCCACGTCAATAAAAATAAGATGTTCGCCTATGCAAAAGCCAGCACTATAATGCAAAGGTATTATGGGTGGTTGCCAAGTTGTTATCAGCATTTTATAGTGAAATGCAGATTGGTTTTTAGATCAGTGTAGGTCTACGGGATATTTTTATCCACCAGTCTCCAAGTCAAATCACTTAGAAAAGTAAGGCCAGTGTTGTTTGGATCATTGAGATACAGTTTTATTAACATTTTGTGTGTGTGTGTGTGTGTTTTTTTTTTGTAGTAGTAGTAGTAGTAGTTTTTCATTTTAATTTTAGTTAAAAATTGTAAATTAGTTTAAATTAAATTATTTTTTAAAATATATATGTAGTTTTTAAGTTGTATTTCAGTTTTAGTTTTAGTTATTGTAGTGCATCAAATTAAACTAAATTGAAATGAGATATCTTGCTTATTTTGTCTTTTTTTATTTTTTATTTTTATTTTAGTAAAAATTAAAAATGTATTTTAAATTAAAATTATTTTTTAATGTCTATGTAGTTTTTATACATTTTTGTTGTAGTTTTAGTTATTGTAGTGCATCAAGTTAAACTAAATTGAAATGTGAGATCTTGCCAATTTTGTCATTTTTTTAGTAATTTTTCATTTTTATTTTAGTAAAATATTTACATTTAGTTTATATTTAATTTAAATTATTTTTAATGTCTTTTTATACATTTTTATTTCAGTTTTAGTTTTAATTATTTTTGTGCCTCAAGTTAAACTAAATTGAAATGAGAGATGTTGCTTATTTTGAGTCATTATTTAGTAATTATTCATTTTAATTTTAGTAAAAATTTAAAATTTAGTTTAAATTAAATTAAATTATTTTTTATTTATATATTTTTTATAAATATTTTTATATTTTTAATTATATTTTTAATTTCTGTAGTTTTTATACATTTTAATTTCAGTTTTAGTTATTTTAGTGCATCAAGTTATACTAATTTTTTTTTATGGTTTTAGTTTTAGCTAACTATAATAACCTTGCACCTCTTCTCAACAAACCACATAATTTGTAGTATCGTTCATGCCTATAAAACAAACGATGAGAGATCATTCACACTCAACTTTAATACTTAAGCTTATGGTTTTGTTCAAATCACAAAACGTAAGTATGAGCAATAGTAAAATAGCTGTTTACTTTAACAATCTCTTTCCAGCTGCGGGAGAGTAGCAGCATCTGCTGTAAGTGAGACTTCCTGGCGTGATATAACATAGTTAATGGGAGAGAAACAGAAAGGGAGGGAACTAAATGCATCTGGCTCTGTCTTGGCACTGCAGTGTTTCTCAAACTCAGTGTGACACACTTCCCCTCATGACTCTGGCCAGAGCCGAACACTCCGCTCTTACAGGTTAACCGCTATGAAAGCCATGGCTCAAAGGTCTGTTATGGCAGACAGGTCCCAGACCACCAAACCCCATCTAACTGGCCACTTTCGCAGAGCTTCACAGTCCCTGTGGGCTCCTCACGATGAAAGAGCTCCAGGGCATGAACAACAGCGATGCTTGTTGATGTATGCCTGCATACCAAGAGAGTCCTGAAGCCAAGCGGGGATAGACTCATGGGCAGTGGACTTGAGGTGACTGGTGGCATCGAACACTTTCGTCTGTGTCAGTCTGAGGGACTAGAAAGACAGTGGAAGGCATAAATTAGTCATGGATCAGGATGCCATGCTCCTTCAGGGTTTTTTTTAATGCCCAGAACCCCAAATATGATAATCCTCTTGCGAAGGGGAATATAAGTAGAATATAAGGACAGCTTGATTTTTATGTATCAAGACTCATTTATATGATGTGAGGAAAAAAACTGTGCCTTTGTTACTAAAACTGAACAACTGGCATTGGAATTGTATTAAAGCAAGAACTGTTTTTTTGTGACTCAAACTTGGTCTTGTGCTATATGTCAGAGCACTGACCACAAGGCTAACCCTGAGAAACATTTGAAGATTTTTTTTTTTTTAATTGTTAGGGTTAGGTGTACACATGAGGATGGACATTTGTGTTGCACGTTTGGCAATTTTGTTGCAACTTGCTGATTCTTTAGCATCCTGCAAAGAATGCATCATCCTGAGACTAATGCATTTTGTTCCATTTCAGTATTTAACACTACATCCAGCTGTTTTTGAATACATGAATACATTCTATGTGTAAGTTATTATGCAGGGCTTCCTTAATCAGAATGTATGTTCAAACAACTCACCTCTAGGTAATTTCGAATGTATGTAGTTTTGTACAACCCTAGTGTGAATCACTTGAAGAGAAATGAAGGTGCCATACGCTCATTTGTGATTGAAAAGAATTTTAGCCTCACCTCACTGCATTGACCACTCACACTGACCTCATTTCCTTTTACATTCTTAGAAACAGAAGCCCATCAGCATCCAGGGACCCCAACGCGGCATATAACCGAAGGGAGGGGGAAGGAGGACTGCAGTATGCCCCGGCTGAAGGAGGCATGCCCCGCTCTCCGTCCGACTACGGACGTGACCCTGGCCATTCGCCGAGGAGTTCAAGTATGTACAATGAGGTGGGCGGTTATCAAGACAGCCAAGGACGTTGGCACTCGCAAGGCCAGCGTTTGGACGGCCAGCTAGAGGACTATGAACTCCAAAGACGCCGTGAGGAGGAATACCAGGCCCGATACCGCAGCGACCCCAACCTGGCGCGCTACTCAGTCAAACCCCAGCCCTACGAGGAGCAGATGCGCATACATGCCCAGGTGTCACGGGCTCGGCACGAGCGGCGTCATAGTGACGTCTCGCTCGCCTATACAGAACTTGACGAGCCTCTGCATGGGCCCGGTGGGCGGCAGTCGCGCCTCCCTCTGTTGGGAGGCCCAAGTCAACGCTCGTACTCCATGGACAGGAGCTCACCGGGACATCGGATGTCGAATCATAGCCCACCAACACCACACCGCAGCCCCGTGCTGGGCGATAGCCGGCGAGGACTGGTGGAGCCAACGAGGAAACCCATACCCCAACAGCACCACTTGGACCCTAGCTCAGCCATGCGCAGGAACAGTCGGGACAAAATGGATAGCATGCTACGAAACGATTCTCTAAGCTCGGACCAATCCGAGTCGGTTCGGCCTCCTCCACCTCGACCGCACCGCAGCAAACGCCTTGGCAAGCTCAGAACCATGGGCAGCTTCAGCAGCTCAGAAGAGGAGCTGGCAACCACGCCAGAATACACCAGCTGTGAGGATGTGGAGCTGGAGAGTGAGTCCTTCAGCGAAAAAGGTAAACGCTGCTGACTCTGAATGGAATTATTGAATTACTGATTGGTAAACGTTGCAGTGTTTTAGGGAGAAACGTTGCATTAAACGTTTCCGGAATTTCAGATGTGACTCCAGTCATGTCAGTTTCCTAGAAAGAGCCATGCCTTCATGGTAACCACCATGTTGCTCCAGACCTGGTGGGGGCAGCAGAGAGTTCAATGCTGTTGTATGTATTATTTAGAGCCTGTGAAATAGGTACTTCTTGAAAAAGTAACTACTTTGCGACTGTTAAAAAGTATGTTCTATATAGTATGAATTTGTGTAGCATGAATATAATATGGATACACTGTTGCACTATTTTCATGTGACCTACTGGACCATCCTCATCTCCCGTGGCCTAATGGGATAGTAAAGTGTCCATCAGATACGCACTTCAGAATCTCGCCAGGAGTATTCGTTCACTGGAGGACTTTGGGTCTACTGAATTTGCACATACTATGCTTTTAACATAGGCCTACTGTTTTTCATGTAGTAGGGAAGTATGCTATTTTGGATGCAGCCTGTGTGCACCTTATAAACACCAGCCAGATGAATCTTGTGGTTTGACATCAGGGATATCCAGCCCTGCTCCTGGAGAGCTACCTTCCTGCAGACTTCACTTTCAACTCAACACATCTGACTGCAATTTCTCAGTAACCCTAAACACCTTGATTAGCTGGCTCAGGTGCATTTGATTGGGGTTGTGGCTGAACTCTGCAGGATGGTAGATCTCCAGGAGCAGATCCTAGACCTTAAATGATTTTGGTTACTCTTTACTGATTCTTCTTGGTTGTCCCACTTAAATAAAAGAGTCAGTTTTGGCAGAGCAGAACTTGTTGATGGTGAGGTTAGAGTCATGATGCTGTGGGTTATGATGTTGTCTTACTGAGTCTGCCTTAAATACAGATTTGGAGAGGCTTGTTTAATTAAGAGAGCATAGTGATAACATTTGTTGAAGAATTTTTGCATGTTTTTTTTCAGTTGTGCTTGATGCCAACTACATTATATAATTAATTGTTGTTGAATATTAACCAGACTACTGCTTGTAACAGTAACCCCTTAGTTAATATTCTCAACACAGTCAGATGAGAAGTCAAAAGATGAGAAAATTAAGTATAAGACTTGCAAGGTTGATGCATTGACCTCAGATTCAGTTCTCTTGGTAATTCTTTTTGTTTTAGTTTCTGCGCTTTGGGGTTGTTGAGATCAGTTATAACATGTCAGTTATTCTGTGACCTTTCTCCTCTAAATTCAGTTTAAAACTGCACTTAAGATAAAGGAGAATCCACTGACGCTGGCAATTACATGGGTTGAGTCACATGACCAGGGTTTAAACCATGGAGGGTGTTTCATTATTCAAGCAGGTTTAATTATGTAATGCAAGCCGGGCTGAAGATGCTAGCGTGTGAATGGAGACACAGGACACAGTCATACATTGCCATTCACTGTTAAGTAGAATCCTGTTCTCCTGTTAGAATATGAATTTCTATAGCTTTTGCTGTTAGACATTTAAAGTGAGAATATTACTATGAGATCAGCTGACCTGATGCCCTGTAGGTCTGACAAACAACTAAGAGCAAGTCATGGTACATCTTGACATGTATAACAGCTAATATGATTCAGTAAGATAATTAAAATGTCTAACCAAATTGCTTTTCTCAGCCATGCCCATGTTTCTTCATTAGTCATACAGCCAGGCTTTTCAAACTGAATCTCCCCAGCACTGCACATTTTGGATGTATTCTTTATTTAACACACCTGAATTAACTGAGTAGTAAAGCACTCCATGGCCTGAACTGGATCTGTCAAAAAAAGAGAGATTCAAAATGGGCAGCACCTCAGGGAGGCTTTAGGAACAATTTAAAATCCCTGACGTACAGCAGAATTCCAAATTATTTTCAACCTAATATCTGTGGCATGTTGTTTACTACATTAAATAATTGCAATTCATGTCTCAGCATGTGCATTTTAAATAAAGAGTCTTACACATGGGAAAGCTCAGTTGGAGCGTTTAACACATAAAGATGCATAAAGGGGGTGTCATCGATGCTTTGTTAATTCTTGAAGTGAACTTTTGACTGTAATGGCTCTTTTTCACCAAGTGGTAAGGTTCAGTACAGTACAGTACGGTACGCAATGGGGTGTAACGGTACACAAACATGACGGTTCAGTACGTACCTCAGTTTTGATGTCACGGTTCGGTATGGTTTCGTTACAGCAGGAGGAAAAAATACTAAACATAAATTGTTTTTTTTTAATTAAACAATGTTTTACTGAACAAATTGCTCTTTCTTTAAATAAATTCAATTATAATTACAATTTTCTTTAAATCTACCTCATGAAATAGGCCTAATAAAGAAAATCTATACAAATCAACCTCAGATTCTGCTCTAAACTATAGGGAGCCATTTTACATTACTATAAGTTTACAATTGACAACAGAGCCCAAACTTAAATTTAATTACTATTTATTTTTAACTATAATAATCAACACTCAAATAAAAAAAAAAAATGTATGCAAACGTAAATTGCACTCAATGCAGTTTTTAAATTAATTTCTAAATTATACAATTTCTATTTGTTGTTGAAATATAATCATTTACACAGTGGCTGTCATAACTTGTTTGATAAAAGATTTATTTAAACAAACATTAAATGATTAAGACATCACTAACAGGCAAAGTAAAATATAATGAGTAGCTATATAGTCTAATATTTTGCAAAATGCTCTTGCTGAAGCGTTTACGCAGCGAGCCGTCACGCCTCATCAAAGAGTGCCAAAACGGCATTTATTGTATGAATTTCCTGAAAAAATTGAATGATTTGTTCGGTACACGTGCGTACTGAACTGAAAGGTACGAATACGTGTACCGTTACACCCCTAGTATGCAATTATGTCTGTTTCCATTGTCAGAAGTTGTGAATGGTACCAAAAAATGGTACCGTACCACTTTTTTTGGTACCCTTCCGTTGGGGTTGTGCTTCGATACCTAAAGGGTGGAGCTAGTCTCACTGCAGAACGTTGATTGGTTGACGTAGATCACTACTTTTTTGGCATAAACTATGCCTATCAAGTAAGGGTACTGTTGGTGGTGTAAATGCAAGCCGGATCAGGGTGTACTTTCCTGAATTGTACCGTACTCTACTGTACTGACCTGTACTGTTTGGTGGAAATGAGCCATTATATACCCCTAAAAATTGAGCATTGGTAACTTAGAGTAATAATGTGTACTCTTAAGGTACTACTATGAACGTTTTTAGGAGTAAAAGATATTCATTTAAGGGTGCTATCCCAGTGACAAGCTGTTGTACCCCTAAAGGTATGACTTCTGAACAGTTTTTTGAGAGTGTATCCACAACGTGGTGTGGCACTTCTCTTCTGGTGTAAAAGTGACTTAAGAGCAAGGTCAGTTTGAAATGAGTGAGAATACAGCAGATTGGATGTCTGAAAGCACAACTGGACTCTTTAAAACTCCCATTGATCAGTGGTTGCGTACCAGCAAAAGTTAAAATTTTCTCTTCTTTTGGTGTCATGGTGCTTATTATCATTAGGATTCCAGGAATGTATATGGAATGCTACTATCTTTGCTATCTGTGAAGTACCTGTCCTTCCTCTTCCTCCTTTTTCTTCTACCATGTAAGATATTCCCCTCCCCTAAAAGCTCTGATGTTGTCAGGGCCACGATTAGCTCAATTGGATAAGCCTCTTTGCACAGGAGCAGTCTCGAGAGAGAGCTCCCCAGAGCCTTGCTTCATCTGCAGAAGTAGGGAGAGGGAGTCCCAGCAGCTTTGCAGAGGTAGAGGGTCACTTCCATGTCAGAGTCAGGAAGTGAAATTACACCAGTGCATCTGTCATGGTTACCTCTCCACCACAGCTACTTAATGCACTCAAGAGGCTACAGTGGAGCAGAAGAAAGTAGGACACGTAGTGACTCAAAGAGTCACTTGCTTCCACCTTCATCCTGCTCATACTCAGTCTCTCTGTTTCAGTCAGCTTTCTAAAGGCTCACACCACCCCAACAAACACCGACAAATCTCCTGCTTGATCAGTGGGGTAACCATGTTGGTATTTGTTCAGACAATGAATGTTTCCCAAAATTTCCAATCCAGCATCCAACATTAAACTCTAGTTTCCACAAATCTAGCAGGCATCCAGTCACTCCATCTGACCTCATAAGAGTGGCACACCTCTTGACTGTAGACAGGAAGGAGCTTGATCTCTGACAAGCTTATCCTTCCATTGGGTGCCATTGGACATACGTCAATCAGTCAGTGACAACCCAACCTGATTGGTTCAAAGTACTCAATTCCCTCCCCACCTGCAGAAAGAGAAAAGGATTTGGTCAAAGTAGCAAACTAGTGGAGGCACACACCAAGACGGCACGCTGTGTGAAGCCTGGGAAAATGGTGGTAAGTCAATATGTCATCAAACTGCCAACATTTGGAATGATGACTGTTCTGCTGCTGTGTGCTTTGGAGTAAGGACTTATAACGTAATTGTTTGCTCTGAACTTTCACTTTTGTGTAAAAACCACCAACCGGAAGGTTGGAAAATCTAAAAGAAAGGAATAGTTATATTGGTTGGGTGCAAGCGATTGAGGCCAATGCTTGCTTCCATGGAGCCATGAGCAAACTGTAGGGGTTCTTGGAGTCAGGGATCAGCCCGGCAAACTCAGGGAAACAGTCTGTTGTGATGCGGGGACTATGTAGGGCAGGGTGTTTGAGCTGGCTTACAAGAATAACGGTAAGCTCATTATTCTAAGGCATGAACTCCATTTCAGTGCAAGGAGATAGAGAGAGGGAAAGAGAACGACACCGTTGAGAGGCAATGAAAAAAAAAAGGCAAACAGTTGGGTTTGACATCTTCCTTGAAGGGGATGTGCAAGACCTTTAAAGACTGACCCAAGTGTGATTTGAAGAGCTGCAGTTGAGTTCTAGTCCTTGTTCCGGTGGACGTAGTTGAGTAAATCAGCTCTGCAGAACTTTAACTTGCCAAGGTTTGAAAGGGTTGGTGCAGCAAAGACGGATTATCAACAATATATTGGAACTACACAGAACAAATTTTTTTTTTCCTGAAGGCGCTGGGAATGGTCTGCACATGGTGCTTGGACAAATGGCAAACGCTTCTGGTTTGTGAGGCATGGTGTATGTTAAGGCAGAAGTAATGTCTACAGAAGTAAGCTTTTACAACGTTCATTCTTTTCACGGTAGCATACAGATATCACCGCATGCTGGCAGGGAAATTGGGGACAGGATGATGCAATGTTGGCAGCAGTAATCAGACTTCTGCAATATTAAAGTTTCCGTGCTATACACTAGGATACAAATTATTTTATCCATTTATTATAGTGCCGTTGTGATATTGCACTGAATCTGGCTGTTAAAATTATGGATGCATAATAACCATATTTTTCATCTTTAAACTACAGCTTGGTTTCTTAATCAAATATACTGTATTGATGACACAGGCAAATGTAAATAACTATTATTTTGCACACATGAAGTGAGTCCTATGATGATGGTTTACTTAAATCCAGTCCAGTTTATTTAGCACATTTCAAGTGAACCTTTTGATTATGGTTTCCTTAAATTCAGTCCAGTTTATATTTAAAGGACCTTGAAACTGGACCTTGTTCTTTGTTTTAAACTGCTAAGAAAGTATCAGTACAATACTGATGCATTGCAAATCCATCTGCTTGCCAACCCATGTAAATAATTGCAAGACAAGAGAAGTAAGGTCATAAAATGTATTACTAAAATGTCATACTAACACAATTGAAAAGTTGGGAAACTTTACTTTTTAATGGAAATGTTTGCTTTCTCACCATCAGTTGCCTGAATCTCTGTTATGGAGTGAAATCGCTTGATCGCTTGGCTTGCAAATAGAGATTTTTTTTTCAGTTTTAACTAATGTTATAACATACCAGTTTATATGCTAAAGGTTTTCTTATTGATGATGAACTCCTCTCTCTCTGGCATTTGTGTTTTTAAAGGTTTTGTGCCTTAAATTATTCCTTGATACTATAACTAACCTGACATTCCAGGAATTCAGTGAGAATATCTATGTGTTCATAACAGAAAATATGCACAATATACTGTATATGTATGTGTTAAATATCCCATATACAACATCAGCAAAATGGGATGCATTTTATGGTGTTATGTACATTATGCAACAGCATGGAGCTGTATCAAACAGAAAAAAAGATGTCTTTTATATGTCATTTAAGCACTAGATTTTAATTTTTGTGTGTCTCCAACCAGATAAAGATTTCCTAACAGAAAGGTTCTCTGTCAACAGAAATAGTGCTGTTTAGATGTATGGCACTTAGGTAATTTGCTTTCTCAGAAAATGTACTTTCAGATGTTGAGCTAAGAAGCCAATATTTATGACTTTTTTTCTTTTCTTTTTGTCAAATTGCTGGATAAACAGGGTTGTAGTTTGTCTACAATACATGTCTTGTAGTTTTGGTCGTGTTGTAGTTCATGCTCTTTTTTTGTAACACTATACACCTTTAAAATATCTGTATTTGTTCTCTCTTTCAATTTGCTTTATAGGTAAGTGTATACAAAGAAAAGTGATATAAATTGTTACATGTGTTAATTTAAAGTGATAATTAACCCAAAAATGACAATTCTGTCATCATTTAGTCACCCTCATTAGTCACCAACCTGTATGACTTTCTTTCTTCTGTGAAAAACAAACAAGATTTTTTTTAAAGAATGCACTAGTTCTTTTTTTTTCATGTAATTGCAATGAATGGGGACTGAAGGTTTCGCAAAAGCACCATAACAGTATCACACAAGTAGTTCTTACTAAATGAATGGTGATTTAATTTTGCAAACCAGATCGACTGATTTTTTTCAAAAGATCTGACTCAGAAGAACGATCCGTTCTTGAATCAGGCATTGCAGTTTCTATCGTGAACATCCTTTTTGCAAGTTGCAGTCCCCATTCGTTGTAATTGCATTGAACAAAATGGCTAGTACATTCTTTAAAATATATTTTTTTGTGTTTCACGGAAGAAAGAAAGTTGTACGCTTGCCGAACGACATGAGGGTGAGTAAATAATGGCAGCAGTTTCATTTTTGTTGAACTACACCTTTAAAAGAGCTGTAAGAGAAAGCGTGTGAGTAAATGAATGGTGCGTATTTGCCTATATAAGTTAAATATTGTTGACACGAGTGCGTGCGTTTGTGTTCTCTCACTGTGCTGTCCTCAGGAGATATGGATGGTCACTGGTGGGACCATGCATCTTGGCATAGCGAGGCCTCCTCAATGTCTATGGTGAGGCTTGTGACCCTCTCACCCCATTTCCCCTCGATTAATTCGCCTCTGCATGTTTTGTTTCTCCTCCTTTTTTATATCATCCATAACTTTTAGGCATTCAAAGGGGAAAAAGAAAAACAAATGAGCAGACATATTTTTTGGACGCCAGTTATGCCCCGTCTGAGAGGCAAAAGACAGTGGTGCGATTTTGGGAGCGCTCCCACGATGAAGATGCGGAGTGGTGCGAGCCACAGGTCAAAGATTCAGGGGTTGACACGTGCAGTAGCACCACACTTAATGAGGAGCATAGCCATAGCGACAAGGTACTGAGACGACTTCCTGCCGCCTGCCTCTCGCTTCCTGTGACTGACCTGCTCGACTGTCTGTTTCTGCCCCTAGAGGGTTTCCTACTCTAATCGTGCCTCTCAGATGAGAGGAGAACCCTCTGGTTTGCTTTGCTCCACTGTCTTCTGGCTGCAAAGTCGTAGCGCATCCTAACACACAGAAAGATGAATGACAAACTTCCTGGCACTGTTTGCTCCATATGCTGCATGCTTCTCGATGCGAACAGATGCTCCATTCTGATTGCAAACCTGTTTTCCTCACTTGGTCACGTCACCTTTTCACGCTGTTCCCCCCTTTGGGATTTCCTGACATGATTTTTTCCACACAATCCTTCAGTCTCAGCTTAAACACAGGGATAGACTAGTGTGGGAATCAATCTTGCACTAAGCAGTTGTTTTTCTTTCCCCTTTTCACTGTCTCATTCTTCATGCTGTGCTTTTCTGTCCCATCTTTGGTTTTTGTTCGTTTACCGCATCTTTCGCGATAGCGAATAGAAGTAACTTGCTACATCCATACTGCTTGAGGGTGTGAGAGCAATTTACTTTGCTTTTCTGCTTAAACAGTGGATTGATCTAGATCGGTGCTTCTCAACTGGTTTTGTTGTTTAATGTTAAATATCGATATTTGTGAATTAATTTAACCATTGGTTTAGAGAATAATTCTCACTATTAACTGTGACTCTTGCCTCAATAAACAACTAAATTTGATGTTTATTAATAGTTAAAGTTTAGGTATGGGGTAGATTAAGGTATCTAAAATATTGCCATGCAGAATAAGCCATTAATATGTGCTTTATAAGTATGTATATAAATATGCATGCTAATAAGCAACTAGTTAATAGTGAGAATTGGTCCTTAAAGTAAAGTGTTACCATTAATACTTGTGAATTGGCTAACCATATGTGATGCGATAAAGCAACAAGCATAACTTTTGAGATTTTGTCCTGACTAACGAGTACTGGAACATTTTGTTAATTGTTTGCATAGTCCCATTTGGTCCAAAATCCTCCGCCACATATATTAAATATTAAATATCTTCTGACTGGCTGCGATTCAAATCAACGTTTCACATTCAGGTTGGACATACAATTTGCTTATTGCTGGATACTTTTCACAACACTCCTCTTTCGCTTTAATTAATCACAAAAAACACAGTATGGTTGACACAAACAACTGATTGCAGTTTGAGTATATTCCTTTTACTCTTGTGTAGCTTTAATTATTTTGAGGAAGAGGGTATGATGGGAACTGTTGTGTTGCCAACTTGCCCATGTTGGAATCTGTCTAATGTAACTAAAGTATTTAAAGTATTTGAAGAATCAAGTGAGTGAAGATTTATGTTAAAACAGAGGAATTTGTACAAAAAAAAAAACCGTAAGGTTGGATTGGATGGACAGACTTTGACATCAATTACAAAATATGTGATGTTCTCTTTAGTTTGAACTATTCTATTTATATTTTCATTTTATGTCTGCTTCCCAAAGTATTATAAACCATGACCACTATATAGTTACACTTTCCGCAAAGAAAAACTGGCTTGTCAGGGCTCGAAATTAACTTTTTTACTTGGCATTAAAGTTAAAAATGTAAAGATGAAGTTTAATTTTGTTATGTAGCCTAACGTTTCATAGAACGGCAGACAGGTCACCGTATCAACACTCAGAAGGCACATACTCTGAACGTTTTTAGAGAAATGAAAACGGGTCGCACGACAACAATTATATGCACTCGCACAAATGCTTCCAAATATATTTTGAGGTCGCACAGATTAAATTTCGGGAGCATATGCGACCAAAATGGTCGCAATTTCGAGCCTTGCTTGTGGATGTCATTGATACAGCCACTGAAATTATCTTTTCAAGTATATGATATATTTATTTTGTGTTTTATTTTTCAAATGTTTATAGGATTAAACTGTCAAATCTCGTCATGTATGAAATAACTGCTATAAGTGAAATATTCCGTTTTGCAGTTAAATGCAGTAACTGTAGAGTTTCGGAATCAAAATACTTTAAAAAGTGTGGAAAACATTCATGATGACAAAATTCAACTGGCTCTTTCCTTGTGGGGGGCGGGCATAACTTAAAGTAGACATAACTTGTAGTGGCTATGGTTTCTAGTTCTGTGGAATGCAGTCAGATACACTTTTTTGCATTCAGCATTGTTTATTATAAAATAGCTCTGGTTCTTTATGATTGGCTAGGCAACATTTGAAGCCATAGTAAAATACTGCATAAACACACACCTGTGACCTTATTACATCAGTATTACTGTACAAATCAATACAACTCCACTCCGTTCTGTAAAAACGTCCCACAGCTGTTCTAAAATCACTGTAAACCACTGCTTCTTGGAGGTTATTGCTTTAATCGACTAATACGTGCCCTATCCGTACAGGATTGTGATTCACCAGTTGAGAACTGCTGATCTAGTTTACGGCTTTGAGTTGTTGTCCAGAATTGTGTGCTTGATACCTCTCACCCTGTCTTGACTGTTGTGTCTGTACTTAATAAATGCACAAACCGAACCCTATAGGGTGGAAAATTATTTTGAAGACAATTACTTTCATGCTGTTAGCAAATGCCAAGATCCTGCCATCATTTCCTCACCCTCATGTCGTTCCAGACCTGTAGGACTGTAGGAAATAGTATTGCATTTTAGGGTTAATAGAAATGTCCGTAAAGTTAACGAAAAACATACAGATAATTTTCTGCCTGGACATTATCCATTTTCTTAGACATTTTTTCTCTTACATTGCAGACCAGATCTTAAATCACATACAATTCATATGGTGCAAAGTTTAACACCATAGTGCCATGGGAAAAAAAAAAATGTAAATTGTACATTGACATCAAATTTGGCACAATGTGTTTTGATGCACCATATGAATTGAGTGTATATTAGATTTGAGACCTACAGTAGATGGGAACATTTTCAGGCTTTTCCTTATATTGGTTTATGACATGAGAGTGCAAAATGATGAAAGGATTTTAATTTTGCTTGAATTATTCGTTTTAAATAGTGTAAATGTTATGGTATTTATTGCTAATACAAAAAAAAAAATACCCTTATAAAGTCAAAACCCTATTTGACCCTAAAACAAGACCCTATTTGCTTACGTAATACGTGTTCCTGGTCTTATTGGCAAGATTCATGTGTGCATGTTATTGTCTTCATAATTTTTCATCAAAATGAAATAACTTACTCCACCTACAACAATGTTTGTTTTCAGCTGACTTTACAAATCTCTCTTACTCTCTTTTACAGATCTTCTCGGTAACACTTTAGATTCGCTATTATGCTTTTTTCCCTCTCAATAAACTACTTATTTGCTGCTTATTAATAATTAGTAAGGCAGTTGTTGTAGTAGTTATGTTATGCATTGTGCTTTATAGGTGTTAATAAACTGGCAGTGTGCTAGTAATATCCATGCTCACAAGCAACTAATTAATAGTGAGTAGTGTTCTCCAATCTAAAGTGTTACCATCTTCTCTTACCAACCTTGTAACTCCATTCTGGCCTGTAACACCAACTTGTCATGACTCTATCACTTCCCAATGGATAAAATCAAACCCTATCCTACATTTTGTTTTCATTAAACACACTGTTTCACTCAAATATATGATTACAAAGTAAAATGGGTTGTGAATGTATTTCATGTTGACTTGACACCTTGGTTCGGTTTGTGTCTTCACAGCAAACAAGAGTTGACCTCCTCCTTTAATTTCTCGAGCCTGTGCATGTGTGCGTATATTTGTACCGTGCTGTGTGTGGATGCTTGTATAAAAACCAGAGGTGTATTTTCACTTTGACCCACGTAGCACCCGGTGACATGGCAACCATCCAAAGATGGAGAGCGCCTAATAGGGCGGATAGTGCTAAACAAGCGGATGAAAGATGGCACGGTGCCCAGAGACACGGGGACACTGCTGGGCCTCAAGGTAAGGATGCCCAAACACTGTCAAAGATCACTCGATCAAAGCCATACTAATGAACCGAGATCATAAGAGATCTTCAGCAAACACTCGGTCAGCTTCATACACAATGCACAGTTTACTAACCACAGTTTTCTCTTAATGATTTGAACTTTGACCTTATTGTGGACTCAATTAGTTGGCTTGAGTTCTTGTATTATAAATAGGGGTGTAACGATATTCAAACCGAAACGAAAAACCGCCATACACACCACCCACGATACATAACCGCGATACCCCTGCTGAGACACTTAAAAAAACGTGTACAGCCATGATGGGTTTGAATTGCTTGAATCACTTTGAAAAGGAAGGTACCACTAAGGGCAACATGTGCAGAACAAATCTGTCATATAGGCTACACAAAATGTATTATAATGGAGAACACGACTGTAAAAAATATGCCATGTTTCAGCGCGTTGTTATGGAAAGAATGTGTCCACAGAGATGTATCCTCATGAGTAGCACAGTCAAGTTTTATTGTGTAGCCAATTACAGCCTTAATATTAATAACTATGACTGGGACTGTCGTGTATTTAACATTATAATAAGAACACTGTTATAATAAAATGCTGTGAATTTTTAGAGTTTAGTTGCTGCACGTTGTTACGTGAAGAACGTGTCCACAAAAGGAGTTTCAGAGCCGTGCAGACTAGTGGTCGACCGATATGGGTTTTTTGACAGCTTATAATGTTTGCCTTTAATAATATTAAAGCAATCGTTATAATACTTTTTTGTATACATTTTAATTCCTTTGTTTAACAGTTTTGTTAAATTATAATCTGATTATTAGATAGACTTCTATCCGTATTAGACAGAACTGAATGACAACAGCGAACAAGAGGGAGAATGTGAGCTGTGTGCGCACAGGCGCTGCCGCAGCCGTTCTCGGCACCGTCAAAATAAACGTCCGACGCACCGTCAAAATAAAAGTCCCGCCTCGAACACATCGGCCAAACAGAAAAACTTATTGGCCGATGCCGATATTTGAAAAATGGCCGATATCGGCCGATATATCGGTCGACCACTAGCGCAGACACGTTCATGCACATTCGGGGCATTTTGTGCAGATAGCCTATAAGTCGTAATATTAACGTTATTTAGTATAAATAACAAAGTGTATTCTATATGAGATAAATCTGATGAGTTAAATCCCATTGATTAAAAACCCGCTATCAAAATGCTTCATCCTACATGATTTTCAGTGCGCGCAGCTCAAAACAGAAAACCAGAACATTAATAACTACTGTCATATAAATAACATTATAATGAGAGCACTATTGTAAAAATTTTGTGAATTCTTAGGGTTTAGCTGACGTTTTTAGCGTGCTGTTACAAAAAACGCATCCACAGAAGAAGCTACAAATTTTGTAATTTGCAGGCATTGTGCGTAATTCTACACATTCCCGCAGAGTTATTACATATTTGATTAAAATAATTTCCTTATTGTCCGGCTATTCTATTTTATTTATCCATTGCACATGCATGTTTTATATCTAGCCTAATAACGATGTCCAATTACTTTTGTGCATTTTTAGGCATTATTTCATTTTATTAAAAATTTTGAAGGCAATCGATTTTTTGGTAACACTTTTTACAAAGCAACAATTTTTAGTCTCATTTGTTAATTAATTATTTAACATGAACTAACAGAGCATTATTAATATTATGAGTAATAAGTTAAAAGTGAAGTGTTCTTTAGCATTGCCATGAACCCTACCCCCACAGCAAACATAACTGAACCGAACCGTGGCATTGGTGTATCGTTACACCCCTAATTATAAATTGGTTACCGATGGTCCTTTTCACTTACAGTAAAGCAGTGACCATTCCAACAAAAGGGTAAATTAAGGTACTATTTGTGGTGGTGTGCTTTAGTTCCTGTAAGTTTGCCCACTCACTGTCTTCCAGCCATTATCTGACTACATTTCTGTGAATAGAGAGCAATATTTCCTGGGCAAACTGTGTTTGGCATTAATTTTGTGGGTGCGTTTGCCGAGTTGCTTGATTTGCATAATTCCTTTAGTGAGTGGGGTATTAAAACAATACAGAAAAGCATGCAAAAACTGTAAATGATGCTATCGGCAATTCCAGTTCAATCTTAGTGAACTTTCCCCATAGTATTATCACACATGGTATTGATGTGGATCATCATTTCTTCATAGCACAGCTCAAACTTTCAGCCTTTAAATTCCACATAAATAATTACCTTTCAAGCTTGAAAAATTCATAATTGCATGTAAAATATATTTAAAATATTTAGCATTGCCTGTTGTCTGTATTGCAGGTCGTGGGAGGGAAGATGACAGAGTCTGGCAGACTTTGTGCTTTCATTACAAAGGTGAAGAGAGGAAGTCTAGCAGACACTGTCGGCCATCTCCGACCAGGTGAACACATCTATTCAGATTTAACAATTAAGTACATTTCGTTTAACTCGCTTTAGACTGTGGAAGGCATAAAAGCATTTCCTCTGAAACCTCGTGAAGTCAGAGCTGCTGCTTCTACAGTCCTACTGAATTATGGGATTCTGTATATGAGTAAAGAATTTACGATAAAGGTTTTTAGGTCCTGCTTTATATTAGGTGTCTTTAAATACAATGTACGTATTAATAAAGTAATGAATTGTTAGGTACAGTTAGGGCTGTTCAAAAAATCGAATGCGATTTTCATGCGCATCATTATGTAAACAAAAACTTTTATTTTGGATGCGATTAATCACGATTAATCGTTTGACAGCACTAGTTTGGAACAACATGAGAGTGAGTTAATGATGACAGAATTTAAATTTTTGGGCGAACTCTCCCTTTAACTTCCGTTGGTTAGCTCATGTTTCGTGTTGTATTGATGCGGTGTTGTGTCGGTCCTCAGGTGATCAGGTCCTGGAGTGGAACGGGAGGGTCTTACAGGGAGCCACATTCAAGGAAGTTTACAATATCATTCTAGAATCCAAGCCAGAGCCGCAGGCGGAGCTGGTGGTCTCGCGGCCCATCGGGTGAGTGATCATTACAATACTCTACAATAGAGCTTTATGAAGAAGGATAGCCTGTGGGAGCCCAACATATGAATGCTTATATTCACATACACACTCACACATAGAAACATATTCACTGCTTGAAATGAAAGGCCTGCTTCAGGTCTGTGCTTTATTTTTTGTTACTTTCAATGCTAGGCATTTTTCCCCTTAAACCATTTAGAGTCCTACAGTAAGATGGTTAACCTGGAAAAGCCGGGCAATATATCAGTCATGCATGTGCTGTCATTTTGACTGCAATATACAGTAAAATGACCTAGCATCGTGAATATTTTAAAGTCCCCATGAAATCAAAATTAAAGTTTTTTGGGTGTTAGTATCAATATGTGATCTACAGCTCTGTGTAGTAAATGCTGCTCCATCTGAAAGCACGGGATGGAGATTTACTACTAATCACCAGAAGCGGCTTTACTGACGAGATTCGCGTGAAAATTGCATTCGATTTTTTGCCCAGCCCTAGGTACAATGTACCTATTGTGTTCATGTTGAATTACAAAGCACCTCTGCTGCTATTGATGGGTATACGGGTAAAGTTAGGGGCAGGTTTGGTGATCTGGTTAGGTGTAATGGGTAGAGGTTGGGTCAGCAGTGTAATTATAGATGTAACTACAGAAATTAATTACAAATGTAATTGACAGTTCGCAAAAACCCACCCTCCGTTCTCACACAGTAAAAAATATATCGCGAAGCAAATAAAAAACTGACAACACACCGACAGACAAGACAGAGCAGGTTACTTCTGGTAAGAAACAAGGTCTCAGCTTTCAGATTTGGTTATTTTTTAAGAAATTCTAACAATAAATACCATTTTGTGGCTCTTTAATGTGTCGTGACAGATCACTGTTTTGCCTCAGTTCAAGCAGCATGTGAACCAATCGTCTTTTCATATTTACTTAGAGCATGAAATGAACACGAATGAACATCAGAACATATTTTTATTATTATTTAATTTTATTACACAGTAAGTGCATTGTATCAAAAGATTAAGTTAAATGTAAGTACATAGTAGTTGAGGACGCTTAATATAAACAGGGTCCTTTCTATGTTTTTTTAACTTAAAGGGTAAGTTCACACAAAAATGAAAATTCTGTCACCCTCATACTGTATAGAGTATTTTTACAGTGTCTTTATGTACTTTTTGAAGATTGAAAAATTTGGTGGAATGGACTTTCAATGGAAGGACAGAAATTACTTTTCATTAAATATATCATCATTTGTGTTTCAGTTAAACTACTTGATTCATACTGATTATCTTTACGATGTCTTTACGTACTCTTTGAAGACTGATGGTTTGGGTGGAATCGACTTTCAGTGGAGAGACAGAAATAAGAAAGATTTCATTCAAAATATCTTCATTTGTTTTGATTAAACTGCTCGATTCATACACTATAAAAAATGACATGATCAGTAAGTCATGGCAATGTACGTTTTTACAATAACTTGGACAACAAGTTGAGCAGTTTCAACTTATTTATAGCTTATATGAAATTCAACTTTTTCAATTCATTTTTTTAAGTCGATTTGATTAAATTTAGGTTAAAGTGACTTGTACAACTAAGTTGATTACTAAGCAGTTAAGCTCAAGTTTCTAAGTTCAAACTTTTTGAAGCGTCAAATTTTGGTTGCATGAACTTTCAGTCGAGGGAAAGAAATCTCTCAGGTTTCATTAAAAATGTCATCGTTTGTGTTTCGAAGCTGAATGAAAGTCTTATGTGTTTGGAATAGTGTTGTCAAACGATTAATCGCATCCAAAATAAAAGTTTTTGTTTACATAATATATGTGTGTGTACTGTGCATATTTATTATGTATATATGAATACGCACACATACAGTATATATTTTGGAAATATTTACATGCATATACATTTATATATTTATATTCTTATATTTTATATTATATATAAATATATTTAATATATAAACATATATTTTTCTTAAATATATACATGCATGTGTTTGTATTTATAGATACATAATAAATATACACAGTACACACACATATATTATGTAAACAAAAACTTTTAT